CATAATTCTGTAATATATATATATATCAAACTACTTAAAACGGGGCGATGGTGGTTGATTCCAATGTGTTGTGTGTTGCACAGCCAAGAACTACTTTTGGTAGTTATGGAACATTCTGGAAAATTTGTACGTGCTTCCGATCACGTATGGAATGGGCGCAGTCGTCACGTTCAGAGACCTCTCAGTCCATTGGCAATCAAAAATCCCGCAGTGTAGGATCAATTATGCCCAATTTCGGTATATTTCGTTTTGCACTAATCTCTCCACATACACTACTTATTCTGTTCTCTCTGTTCTGGAGGTAATCTAGTTATACTAGAAGCGGATAGAGTGATTTATGTTGGGTAAGTGGGGTGTGCGATAGACTTACCTCTACACGGTGCACCCTGGGCAACGTATACTCATGCGGCAAAAAAGTCTATAAACCGGCAGTTGACTTCCGACTTCAACCTACCATCACCCCACTGTATGTCATATTCGACTACTTCTACAGAAATCACCTCACCTTTCATCTACCTTTGTGCCTGCCTCTTTTACATCTTTAAAACACTTTTCTGTTCACCTCCCCACCCCCTCCTCTTGACTTTTTTCGATTTGATGTTCCTCTCCCTCTGTGAAGCCTGAAGTCAACTAAAGGGCTAATGATAACTATCATAAAGCCTGCCGTTTGATATAAATAAATGTTGGATAAGTGCCAACTAATAAGTCTATTTTACTTTCACGAAGAATTTTTTTCGATGCATTTACAAGTTGTAGATTAATGTTATTTTTTTCTTTAAATAGTACGAATGGCGGCCACCGGTCACTTGCAGTTTCCCGAATTGCTAAAAGTCTAATTAATTTTATAGCCTAATTAGGTATCTAATCCTGAGTCAACTTTGGAAGCCCTAGGATTGATTTGACAGTAAGGTGAACCATAAACCAAAATCAGACCAGTTAGTCAACTCTGACCTCTCTGCAAAAATCCCTAACAGGAAATCAAGGTCATTTTAAGGTCGGGAAGAAGCGTATTTTAAGTGCAGCGCATTAAAGTCTCGTTTTTGCAAATGAGACCCAAACGGACTTTTTAATAAATCAAATTTGTAGCAAAACTGCATTACATGATTAATATTATGTTTAAACAAAAAATGTCGATTTTGTACCAGAGGGTTTACCACCATGATAACGAGGAGGAAAGACAAAATTTAGAACGCTTATTTTTTCATTTTCCTTGCAAATTGTGCGCATTTTGCAACAGAGCGAAAATTGTTAGTCATAGCCTAGGCCTAAGTGATTTGTTTATTATCTTTCTAAAGCGATTCAAAAATTTCTGTCACTATTTGTCAGCATGTATGATAGCCGTATTTGGGGGTGAGCGATAGATTTACCTAAACGTGGTACACACTGGGAATCGTATAATCATACAGCAAAAGTTCATAAACCGGCGGTTGACTTCCGACTTCAAACTACCTTGACCCCACTGTAAGCCATATTCCACCACTTTCACAGTACTCACCTTATCCCACTCTCTCTACCTTTGTGTCTGTCTGTTTTACAACTGCGAATCACTCTTCTCTTCCCCCCTCTCCACTTTTTGTGACTTTGATATTCGTCCCATCTGAAGAGCCCGAAGTCAACTAAAAGACTAGTGATAAGTACTATTTAGCCTAACATCTGATATAAATGATAGCCGTATTTCAATTTTAACAGTTAAGTGGTGTTTTTTATAAGCGTAATCTCATATACTACTGATATCGAAACGCACCTTTGATGAGCCGTTTCTGCTGATTTTTCTTGGGCTTCTTTGGCTGCTTCCCTCGCTTTCCTCACAGCCTCCTCAACATTGTCCTTGAGTTTGGAGTGTCGAAGGAGGTAGAATTTTGTCCTCTTCATTAGAGGTTGAACTAGCATATTCTCTTTATATCTACCCTCTTCTCGACTTCCATCCGGGTGACAAGTGACTCCGTATCCATCCTTCTTGTTATTAAACCATTCACCTTCATATCTCAACCCATCCGATCTCTCCGCAACTCCATAACCCGATCTCCTATCTTCATTCCACTGTCCACTATAAGTTTCTGTGACATTAGGTCCCAGTGGTTCATCAAGATTGTCCATCAAAACACCAGCTCCATCGATTCGGCTTTGGTGTTCAACAAACACAGAATTAGCTGTAGCACCACTGATGTTTGATCTGAGGGAACCCCCAGCTCGAGGTGCGTGTAATCCAAGTTTTAAAGAACCTGCTGAACCTGCCCCGCCGATTGTATGTGGACCAACACTACTCAAATCACCGGTTGATTTTGGCTTTCGGAGTTTCTTTAAAATGAATCGCTTTATGGAATTGCGTTTTTCATTTGAGGAGGAACGGAAAGGGGTTGCGGATTGAGATCTTGAAGGGGGTGGCGTGGAACCAGGGGGGTATGAAGTGGCCTTGAGCACGAAACCGGATCGGAAGGTCTCGAACCGACCACCATGTAGGTGGTCAACCGAACCGGCGGAGTCGCCCGAACTACCAGGACCTCGCCAGCCACCCCGGTCGGAATCATGGGTGGAGGGAAGACTGCTTTGTGATTGGGCAGCACGAACTGTGCTGTGATGTTCTGCGGCTAGACCCCATGGTGCAGATTTACGCACACCTAATCCCTGTCGCATACCTTTCGACCATGCACCAGCGTATATGCCTGGAAATTAAACCAAAAATAACAAGTTATGATTTCTGTAAGTTTTATTTCGTATAATTGCAGGCCAATTAACAATTCTGTCCAACTTCTGGGCGTCTACTACTAAATTCGATTTAACAGGTTCTAATTAAAATTCGTTTGGCTTTAAGTTGATTTTATTCTTACTTATCAACTTTGTAACAATTGAAAACGGTTCAGAAAACGATAAAGTTTGTAAGTGTAATAGTAAACACGCACAGATGGAAACCTTCGCACTGTCAATTGATATTAATTCACTTTAATGCCATCAATAAGGTCTATACTTTTAATAGTAAAACTTGAGGCAAAATAACTGTTACCTTGTTATTAGCCAAATTAATTAACTCTTAAAATGCTGATAAATAAAAATTGGTTTAACTTCTAATGGGGCTCAACCC